CCTATTTTCTTTTTAAGGTATCAGCTAATAAGGGTGAAATTGGTGATGCCACTCCATTTAATGATGCTGTTAATGTGCAGAAGATTTCTAATCTTTTGTCTGATTATGGCTACCATCTCAGAGGAAATGAGGTATACTTGCTCTTTCATCAGTAATATATATATTATGTGTGTTCTTATTATGTGTTTCTTTCAAATGATGATTTCTCTGAGCTTTGAAGCTAGGACATTTTAAAAAGCTAGTACAATACTTACTTTTCTACTTTTAAATAGATTATGATTATGGTGTGTAATTTTATTCTTAAAAAATCAAACCTTGCAATAAGTATAAGACATACATCAAATGTGTGCACAGATCAGAAATATATAGCTTGATCAGTTTTCACAAACTGAACATACTCGCTTGACTGGCACTGAGATCCCCCAAAGAAAATGACCTTTCCTTTTATGCCCAGATGCCCCCTCTCAGTGTCCCCTTTCAGTCACTACCTTCCCATCCCCACCCAAGGTAACTGCTTCTTGCCTTCTAACAGTATAGATTAGTTTTGTGTATTTAGATTGTTATATAAATAGAACCATACTGTATATGCACGTATTTTTTTTAAACTTGTGGAATATTTTAAAACTGTGCTTCAAAATCTGTCTGTTTCAGGTCCTGTACAATGGTTTCACTGGTCGCAAAATCACATCACAAATTTTTATTGGTCCTACTTATTACCAGCGTTTGAAGCATATGGTGGATGATAAGATTCATTCTCGTGCTAGGGGACCTATTCAGATCCTTAATAGACAGCCCATGGAGGGCAGATCTCGGTAAGAGAGCTTCATCATTTCATTGTTATGATTAATGAGCCTTTTTAAATAAACAATGTCAAACATAAAAAGAAATAATGATATAATGAACCTCCATGTGCCTGTCACCCCACTTTAGTAATTATCATTAACAGATAGCTAATCCTGTCACTTCCATCCCCAGCAACCTCTGATCATTTAGTGATAACACAAATTCCTCTGTAAATATTTCAGCATGTATTTATAAAAAAGTGATTCTCAAATTTTCTGATTTCAGGACTCCAAAGAGCTTTTGTTTATGATGGTTGTTATCCATGTTAGAAATTAGAACTGAGTAATAATTAAAATATTTGTTAATTTATTGAAAGGTAACATGAATAACTCCATTACTCATTAATGTAACATTTTTAATGATAACTAAGCATATTTTCCAAATAAGTTTAGTCATATTGATTTACCTTTGCTAATCTCTTAAATGAGCTGTCATATTAGACTGAATTCTTCTTTTAGTAATTCCTAACCCGGCCTCTTTAATTGGGTCCTAGAAACTGTGATTTTAAGCAAAACAACATTACTTGAGGACCTACTGCTTCATCTGCTTCTGTGCTGATTCCATCACAGTCTTTTTTTTTTTTTTTTTTTATTTAAGTATGTGAGGAAAATACAATCTCACAAAGATTTATTTTTAGAATAGGAAGAATATTTTAATAGCTTTTTCAGGTGTTTATGGATTCTTTTTAGTTAATACAGCAAAATGATATTATAAATTCTTAGAAGATTAGTTTTAATGTAGAACTTGAAGCCATATCAGTGAATCTTTAATACTTATGTTAAAAATCTGTTGGCTATCTTATACTTTATATCTTTTACACATGAATAATTTTGTAGCATCACATTTGGTCCTTTGGGAAATACTGATTCACTGAGTTATGTAGATTTTCAAGTGCTAACACATTTCATTATACCAAAAAAATAAAAAATCACATTTGTGAATATTATCATCCATGTTGTGAGAAAAATCTTTTTGGGATGCTGTCAAGCTCATAGTAGTTGATAAAGGTTTTCTAAAATTCTCAATTTTGCTTGAAAGCTCAGATTTTCAATTTTTCAACAGATAAAATTACTTTCTTTGAAGTGAAAGGCTCACTTTGTTCATTTTCAGAAAAAATACCTGCTAAAATCTAAGTCTGAATGAATGTAGTTGGTGTTAATTTTTGTGAATTTACATAATTGGCATCTGCTGTAGTTTCAAGTAAACATACTCCATGATAATAGCTCAGGAATGGTGCAAGTGCTATTCTTCAAGACAGTCATCCTCAGTGTGTAAACATCAGAAATGCTGTATGAGAACTTGTCATAGGATAGTAAAGAGACATGTACTGGGGTTGTTAATAAAACTAACCATTAAGGATATTGTGAAGTAAAACTGACTGCACTACCCCGCTACTCAGAGAATGGAACTACTATTAAGTTTGCTTTCACTGCCTTGGTTTTGTGCTCAAGGTACTGAAGTTTTACTGTTACTTTGTACGATCAGTACAAATGTCAACACAGTGACAGACACAAATGTGTTTAGTATTATCATAAAAGTAGTTGTCATTCCCATGAGGCCCACAGACCACACTCTGAGAACCTGTGCTTTCAAAGATTAGAATGTTAAAAAGCACACATTCCCCCTACACACACACAGTATCTCTTTAATTAAATAATCCAGTGCTCAGACTTCCTTGATGATTGCCTAATTTTTAAAAAAGGATTTGTTGGTTTTAGTCTGGGTATATTTAAGGTCCATGTTTTGCACTTGATTAATATGTTTCTTAAGTTTTTTTCTCTTTTATCTCCAACTTTTATCCCTCGCAGTTTATTTTTGAAGAAACTGGTTTGTTTGCCCTGGAGGGTTTCTCAGTCTGGTTTGTTGCTTGCATTCCTGTGCTGTGCATTCCTATTTTTCTTGTAAATTGCGGATTAGATCTAGAGGCTTAATGAGATTTGGGATGTGAGTTCTTGTGCAGTGGTATTTAATAAGCAGTTTTATTTATTTCCAGTATCTTGTCTCTTTTTATGATTTCAGCAGCTGCTAATGATCATTAGCTAAAGTCCTATCAGTTTTTTATTTATTAGCTGAAATACTGTAGAAAGAAACTTTCTTCATTTGGTTACCTAGTCACATAGTTCTTATATCAAAGGGCAGATAGATACTTCTTTCCCTTCATTTACTAATTTTCAAGATGAAGAGTTGGTGGTTTAGCAGCCTCCAAAGTTGGCAAATGATTTGTTTTGTAATATTATAAATGTAATTTATTTAATTTGATATGCTTTGTATATTAAGTAGTTGTTGATGAAGTCAACACCACCCACTTGTCTGACCATCTGAACAATGTATTCATTCCACTTATGTGATGGGAAAGGCTGTATTCACACACCTGTTCTTTCCAGGACTTTTGCCAACATGCTTTTGTCATTTCAGGTTCGTTCATTTAGGAACTGCTTTGTGGAGATTGACTTATTTGTTTTTGAGTGTGGAGTTGAATTCTCATAAGCTAAATGATAGTATGATGAGACTCTACTTGTTAATGAGGGAAACTGTATCCCGTGCTTGAGAATCTAATGTATTTACTCCATTTGGGGACCTTCAGACATATACCAAATAGTGGGTAAACGTGTCTGTTACCTACCATGTTGAGAGAATGCTGGGGCATAAAAATAAGAGTCTAGGTCTCCTTACTATTACCATTCTATACCTTTGCCATTAATCATGCTGGTTTTAATAGAAAATAAATACAAAATAGTCTGTTGTTTTTTCCTTAACAGTGATGGTGGCCTGCGTTTTGGAGAAATGGAACGAGATTGTCAGATAGCCCATGGAGCAGCTCAGTTTTTAAGGGAAAGGTTGTTTGAGGCATCAGATCCATATCAGGTTCACGTTTGCAATCTTTGTGGAATAATGGCCATTGCTAACACCAGGACCCATACATATGAATGCAGGGGCTGTCGTAATAAAACACAGGTATGTACAGACCTTATTGGCAATGGAGGCTTGTCTAGGACATAACCATGTTGGTCTGATCATCCCCACAGACTTAGTATAGTGGGACACATTGCTATTTTCCAATTTTTGATAGGATGCCTCTGAAAAGAATCCTAGTTTCATTTTTAAAATTTTTTTAAAAGATTTATTTTTTAATAGTTTTTTTTTTAAACAGATTTATTTATGTATTTATACAAGCACTGGGTACAGTCAGAAGCGTGGGAGGGTGCAAGAATTCGCCAGAGCAGAACAGACTGACTGACAAAATACACTGCTGAGGGGAGCAGCGGGCGGCAGGAGAGGTCTGCGCGCCATGTGGGACCCTCACCCGGTGGCCGGAGATCAAACTGGCGCTGCAGAGGCTGCAGGCAGCTTCACAATCCAGCGCTCAACCGCTGCGCCACCGGGGAGGCCCTAAAGATTTATTTATTTATGCATATAAGAACTGGGGTAGAGGCCAGAGGTGTGGGGGGTGAGAGGATTCACCACAGACAGAATGGGGAACAGAACAGGCAGATCTACTGAAATACACTGCTGAGGGGAGCAGCAGGTGAGTCAGGAGAGGTCTGCTGCGCCTTGTAAGGTAGCTCCCTGGCCAGGGATCGAACTTATGCTGCAGTGGCTGCTTCATAGGTTGCATCTTAACCCCTTGGAGGCCCCAAGTATCCTAGTTGTAAATGAGAAAAAAGATAACTTGATTTTTGTAAAAACTGGGTTAAGTTTTACTGTGGTCATTGCCCCAATATGTTTGTAATACCTTGTACAAAGGAACTTTAAAGGAGTTTTTCTTAAACCTTTTAATTGAGGAGGGTAAAGATAAACTATGGCAAAAAAGGTTAAACTCTGAAGCCTGTTAGGAGAAAGAAATACTGTAACCGTGAGTGTGGTTAACTTACTCATTTATTCAGCATCTACACTACAATTCTTTATTTTTTTCTGGGATAGAGAAGTGGGGGTCACTTCAGTAAAGCTTTGCTAATTGTTTTTTTTTTTTTTTTCCTTTCTAGATTTCTCTGGTTCGAATGCCTTATGCGTGCAAACTGTTGTTTCAGGAACTGATGTCTATGAGCATTGCCCCTCGAATGATGAGCGTTTAGTTCTTTTAAAAGATACTTGTAAATGTCTTGTGTTTTGTTTCTGTGATACAGCCTTTAAGAAATAAATGACAAATATGTACTGCATTGCAAGAAAAAGCATTTTATTTGTTTTGTTTAATGATATGCATGCCTCCTTCTGTAAATAGATAATAAATTTTTGTAGATAGATTTGATGTGTTATCTTTATTTTGTATTTCTGTGTAAAACCAGTTACTATAACTAAAGCGTTAGAGGACTGGGTGAGAAGAAAAGAGTTATTAGGTAAGAAAAGGGGTCGTAGTTATCCATGGCTACGCTGTGCAGACTGATACCCTCTGTAGGTTTATAGCTTGGCAACTTCACCTGTTGAAAAAAAAGAAAAAGGTAAAAACTAGTTACATATATGAATGTATGCTGACCTTCTAACATTTGTGTTTCCGAGTAAATGAAGATACTATAATATAGGAACAGAGAACTGTTTAAATGAGAGTGTGGACTGCTCTTTGGAATGAGAGTTACACCTGATTTTAGATGTGGAAAGAGCTGTTTGCAATTTTTGTTTCAATATAAGAGATGGACCTGATAAAACTGGAAAAGCACATTTCACAGAGAGGCTAAGGAAACTTGTCTGTCCTCCAGGCTCTCCTTCAATAATTAGTGGCAGACCTGAGATTCAAACACAGGACTTAACTCTCTGCTTCTGCTCTGTTTGTTTCACTGCCTGGCTTACACATCTTGGCTCAAGAGAATCTGACCAAATGCATCTTTACTTGATATTTCTTCCTTTCATACCATAGCTGAGTGATCCACACAGTGAAATGGTTTCACAAATGCTGACAATGAATTTTGTTCTTATTTTAATCTTAAGTGAAAGCCAATTCAGACATCACTCTACTAGAACTATATAAATGTAAAGTAGCTTTGCTCTGACACCCCCGGGATAGGTGGTTAGGAGGAAGATTTTTGACAGTGAAGTGCATGGAGGTGGAACAGGTTGGGTACGTGCCAATATACTCTCTAGCTTTTTCTTATAAAAACTCAAAGTGAAGGACCAACCAGATTAGCCTACAGTATTTCCTTTAAATGGAGATTTAATACAAAAGTCACAATACCAAGGAAAAATGCCATATAGATAGAAAGTTATGGGGACTAGAAACCATTTCAGTCAATTTGAGTTTTGACTACGTAAGAGAAAGTGAAAGTCATAATAGCATTCCATCAACTATCTGGATGTTCTTTTAGAGCTATGTGCTCTACATTTTGATGGGCATGCTCAATGCCTGCGTGGATTCCTAACATTACAGAATTTCATTAAGAGCTTTGTCTGATAATTTCATACTTGGTTCTGTTCTTTATTAAACAAAAGCACTAGTTTAAATGGATGTAAGATTTTTTTTTTTTTTTCTTTTTTTGCCGGGGATCGAACCAGCGCTGCAGAGGCTGTGGGCAGCCTCGCTGCCCAGTGCTCAACCGCTGCGCCACCAGGGGAAGCCCTGGATGTAAGATTTTTTTTACCTACCTTTTTTCACTGGTATTTCATGCAAGGCATCAACCACTGTAATTTTTGCTGATGCTGAAGCCTGGCCTTGGGAATTGGATGCGTGACACTCGTATTCTCCAGCATCTTCCTTACTGAGAGGAGACACCTGCGCGAGAAAAAAGATCTTGAGATCCTCAACAACCAACTGGCTTTATTTAATTAGATCATTATTTCAGAAGTTTCCTAAGATGGCCAGGGGGTTCACAGTAAAGATATTGCTAGAAGTAGCCCAAGTCCTATTTATCTGCTGGGAGACATTCAGTTACCATGTTTATCTGCTGGGAGAATTATCTTCAGAACTGCCATGGAATTTTTTTGTTTTTTAGATTTAATACAAATTTAATTTTTTTTAAAGTATACTGTAGGGTAAATGAAGATTGCCCAGGCTTTTGAGCAGTTGGCCTCTGTGGTTATCACCTGCGGCCTTGAACGTAGAAGGGGTTTGGGAGCATGGGATTGGGGTACGCATGCCTGATGGTGGACACCTGGATCATGGTATGGGCATGGGAAAGTGGGCACACCTGGGCCGAGAGACTGAGCATATAAGGGTGGTGTGGCAGAGGATGGAGTGCCGTGGAAAGAGCGGAGCCCCAGCTACAAGAGGAAGAGACTGAGAGAACGCCAGAGAATGCCCAGAGTAAAGATTCGACCGGGGCTGGGAGGCCTGCCAGCCTCCTGGCCCCTTGGCCCCATAGCCTGTCCTGCGTGGGCTTGCTACTACAGTTAGCATTGGTTGACAGGCTGATTCGATACAGACAGGTATGGAGCCCTCAGAAGACCATGGGAGGGACTGAGGGGTGGCCAGCCACTAGTGTATAGTGCTTGGTGGCCCGCCTCCCTTTTGTGGGCACCTCCCGAGCCCCTGGTGCAGGTGGAGAGGCCTCTGCACACAGCGGGTAGGCATTGGATGGACATGGTGCCTGCTTGGAGGCAGGGCAGGGGTTGAGTGTTCCCTCTGCAAATGAAGTCCAGGATAACACTGGAGGCGCCACGGTGGCACAGGTGGTGACCAGAGTCCAGGAGCTGCGGGAAGAGCCGAAGACACTGCAGGAGCACAGGAGGTGGACAAGGTCCGGGACATGCAGGACAAGACCTCATTTGGAGGAGGCGATAGTCTGCAAGGACAAGGACCCTAAAGCGGAGTGTGTTGGAGAATGGCTACAAGAGAGGAGGAGACCATGAGGGAACACAGGAGAGAGCCCAAAGAAAGAGTAAAGATTGCTCCAGGGCTGGGAGGTGAGCCCAGAGCGGCCCCTTCCTGTCCCCCTGCCTGCCTTGCACCTGGCTGCCTCCCTGCAATTGGTATGGAAAGATCATTAAAAGCCTGAAAAAGACATCAGTGTAAAAAAATAATAATACAAAACACAACAAAACAGACAATTATAAACCAGAGACATCCTGCAGGGGAGGAGGAGGGAGAGGGATGAGAGGGAGGGAGGGAGTTGCACAGGGGACTGAGGTGATGGTGCACAGGTGCATTTTGGGGAAGGAAACTCTATGGGGACTACACCTGAGGGGGTGGGGGAAGCAAATATTTTTAAAAAATGAACAATTATGTAAAAAAATAAATTAAAAAAAAAGCCTGAAAAAGCCACTGAGGGCTCCAGGACTCTCCTAGCCTACTTTGCCTTATCGCCTGCCTGCACTAGCTATACTAACAGCCTATTTGCAGTATGGAAATATAAGAACACAACGGGAAAGAATGTTCAACATTAGCGGTAATCAAAGACAGTAAGACAACAAGAAACTAAAAGAAAATTATGCCAGTCAAAGCATTGTCATGGGCAACTTCTAAGCACATTTGTGTAGGTTAAAAGCTGGACAGGACGCACAGGAATTTGAGGGACACCTTGGGAGGGCATATGATCTAGGTACTGGTCATGAATATTAACAGTCAAGCAAAATATCAATTAAAATAATTCATGAAATGACTGAGAAATTTTCTTTGAACTCAGGGGAAAAGAAATGTTCTTAATTATTAAAATAAAAAAGAAATGTTCTTATTTATTCTTTGTGTATTTCCAAAACATCCAAATGAACTTTACCTTCTCTCGCTCTCTCTTTTTTTTTTCAGTTCCCTCTGAGGGAGCAGCGGGCCCCAGGGCGGGGTGTTATCAAAGAGATGTGGGAGATCAAGTACTCTCAGCCAGGTAGGGCGCTGGGCCCCTCCACCAGTCAGTGTGTCTAATCTTAATGAAACCCTTGTCAGTTCTTGCTACTTACCAGGACCCAGCCAGTTACTTCGTGCTTTTCTGGGCCCCCCCGAGTCTGAATGGCCAGGTTGTCCCGGTCACCAGGCAAGAGTTCTGTCCTCTGAACTCCATAGTGACCTCTTTTTACCTGCAAAAACACAAGGAGCAAGTCTTGAGTTCTCTGCACCAAATCATCATGGTGGAAGTGGCTACATCGATAGAGTTACATAGGACTGACATCAGACTTCATCACTGGATGAAACCTAGCAATTTCCATGTTGTTCTTTTCAGAATACTTCATACCAAAGTACAGATTCTTATTTTTTCCTGTCAGTTTCCCTCTAAGCATACATATTTTCAGTTATTGTATTTTCCTGTATGCTTAGGGAATACACATCATACTTTCTGCACTGGCTATAATCATTCCCTCACACCCTTGTAAATGCTGCTCCAGGCACTAGGTTTTTTTCTTGCTGGTCATGCCAGGTTTGACTCTGACGAATGGCGTCATCCAGTGCTAGGTTTGATGTTTGTGACTTTACCTAGGAGCCCAATCAAGCGTTCTTCCTGAAACAGCCTCATTAATGGAAAATAGGTTGAGACCAAATCCAATACCATCACTTTGTTGTGGAGGCTAGGGTTTCATCAGATGATTTGCTAAAGAACTGTGTTCCAAAATGATGGCAAAGACAAACTTGGGGCCTCCTTGGTGGGGCAAGAGGTTAAGTCTTAGCACTATGAAGCTATCAGCAGCCACTGCAGCACGAGTTTGATACCCTGGCCAGGGAGGTGACCCACATGGTGCAGCAGACCTCTTCTGTCTTGCCCACTGCTCCCCTCACCAGTGTATTTCAGTCGATCTGCCTGTTCTGCTCCCCACTTTGTCTCTAGCGAGACAGAGTGTATGCCACACCTCTGGCATGCACCCCAGTTCTTATATGCATGAGTAAATAAATCTTTAAAAAAAAAAAGGCAAACTTGGCACCTATATGTGTGCATGCCAGTATGAAAGTCAAAGGACTGGTTAAGAAGAGATTTAGTTTCCTTGTTTGGAGGTCAGTTGTGAATTACTGTTCTTAATTTTTCTCCGATTTCAAAAGAAACTATTGACATTATTATTGATTTTAGAAAACAGACAAATTAATAGAGTAAAATTTACTTGCACCCACTCTATACATATACATTCAAAATAAATTTCTATAAATGGAATGGCTGCATAGAGTGCAGGTATTTTAAACCTTGTGATAATTAGGAGTTAAAAAAAAAAGTTCTCACAAAGTAATGTTACTTCTTGCTTCCAGGCCTCCTTTAAGAGCTAAGTTGATGTTTATTGATACCCTTTCTTTGTAATTATAAAAAAAAAGGATTTACAATCTCAAATTCCTTCTCATTTTCTATTATAATGAAGCAAATGTCAAGTTAAAAAGATCAGATCATAGTACATACATGTTTTTTGACCCTCTACATCTGTGTTGCTTCTCCCACATGAGATCCCTCTTCTACTACTTCTTTAGAATTAAGCTCTTGTCTTAACTTCAAGCCCCCCTTTATTTTCTCTGCTTCATGCTCCCAGGGCTGGGACTTTCCAAACCACATGGGATCTAGGCCACTCCTGGTCTATGATAAATAGCTAGCATTACTGACTTGGAATGCTGGTTTTTGCTAGTTTGCTCCCCCCCCCCCCCACCGCCTCTAGGATTTCTCACATTGCCACTATTACTGAGAGAAAACCAAGTATCTGAGCATTTTCTTCATATGACTGCTACAAAGACAAAACATACACTCAATAAGCATCTTCTTCCTTCAGTTTCCCAAGCAACTGGGGAAACTTTATGCTAGTGCAAAATTTGAAATTCTCTTAAAGGTGAGTTTTAATAATGGTCTAAATAGTAATTTGATTCAACGTTAAAGTAATGTATCTCTGGCTTTTCTTATTGGCTTTTAGAATGCTTTAAGGGTATTTTCTGAAACTTAGCAACTGAGCAGCTGATACTCAGGTCCTGGGGCTCTCAGTAAAGGGCTTTCTGTGCCAATTAATCTGACCCCCCCCCCCCAATACAGAGGAACTTTTCTTGTCAAGTATTTGATTGGAAAGTGAATATTTACAGTTAACCAAACTCATGCTTTAACATATTATAAAATGTTAAATATGATATACTATGTAGAGAACCAATAGAAGTGCCAAGAATTTTCACATGGCAAATTTTTGTATGGCAAGCACCTTCTTATGTAGGGGAGTTAGTAAACATGTGTATTTAGTTTAAAAAAAATGCAAGATGAAAAAAGTGGCTGCTAAAACAATTCTACAGGCGCAAAATGAATTGAAAGTGCCTCAAAGTCAACCTTAGAAATCTGCAGGGCAGGAAAAACTGGCAGGTAGTCACTGCTCATCCTAAAGCGTCAACGACAGGGAGAAGCAGAGGGAGATGCAGGAAGCCATTTCTGTTTTCTCTGGTTGCATTTTAGTTGCAACAAAACCTTCCTGAATTCTTCTACTGCAAGTGAGCAATTACAAAGAAAAGTGCCGATGACTAGAGCAACAGGATAGAGTAATCTGATTTCTACAGGATAATACATTGCAGGGTTCATGGAACTTCAGGGAAGAGCTTCAAAGGACATTTGTGCAGCAAAACTATTATTTGTTGTGCCTTTTTGGTGAAAGTTATACTTAAAAAAAAAGAAAGAAAAAGGGCTTGTTGACCAGACTTGGGGCTTAAATAAAAATGAAAATTTTGTTTCTGATTACACTGGAAGAAGGGGTTGGGGTGAAGGAAAATATATTCTGTGTGGTCTCTTAAAACACTCAGTTATACTTTAGGCTTCAACATAGTTCCTGTCTATAACATCCCCAATTATTTTTTGTCCAGGCAGTTTTATTTATTGCCACTTCAGTTCCCAGTTTCTCAGACTGTCAGACAAAGCTCAGATCTTATTGTTTCTCCCAATGATAATTTCCTCCAGATTTTGTGTTCTAAACCAGGGAACCCCCCCCAAGCCCTCCCCACCCCCACACAAGAAAGTAATCTGACAGTGTCAATTAAGACTAAAATCTTTGACTTAGTCATGTAATGTTTTGGGGAATTTATACAATGGGGGCAGGTAGGGAGAGCAAACACTTATATAGGATATGTATGCTCAAGATATTTTTTTATAAGTAAATTTTGTACTAAGTATATATATATATTTTTAAAGATTTTATTTATTTATTTATACAAGCACTGGGTACAGTCAGAAGCATGGGAGGGTGAGAGAATTCACCAGAGCCAGAGTGGGGAACAGAACAGGCAGACCGAGGAAATACACTGCTGAGGGGAGCAGCGGGCGCAGCAGGAAAGGTCTGCGGGCCATGTGGGACCCTCGCTGGTGGCCGGGGATGGAACAGGCGCTGCAGAGGCTGCAGGCAGCTTTGCAGCCCAGCGCTCAATTGCTGCGCCACCAGGGGAGGCCCTGCTCAAGATATTTAAAGTGACAAAAAATTGGAAAGAACTGAAACAATACTGGAATGGTTTAAAAATGATGGTCCATTCACACTTGGGAAGTTACATAGTTATAGAGAAGCAGACCTAGAGGGATGTCCATTAAACACTTACTGAGAATATGAGTTTCAGAGTAATATGTACACTCTATTCCTATTCCACCCTGCATGCTGGGGAGAGTGTGAGTAAACATTTGGGCATGAATCAGGGACGAAAGACACAATCCAGAGCAGTTCACCAGGTTATCTCAGAGATCAGGAGGAAAGGGAAGATTATGCATCTTTTTTTATAGACCTTCTGTTAGTTTTTCCTTGTTACCATTATAAAAATTTAAAAATTTTCAAAATTAAAATTAGAGGTCCTCCCCAGTGGCGCAGCAGTTGACCACTGGGTTGCGAAGCTGCCCGCAGCCTCTGCAGCACCGGTTCGATCCCCGGCTACTCCCCGGCCACCGGAGGAGGGTCCCACATGGCGCGCAGACCTCTCCTGCCGCCTGCTGCTCCCCCCAGCAGTGTACTTCGGTCCTTCTGCCTGCTCTGTTCCCCACTCTGGCTCTGGTGAATTCTCTCACCCTCCCGCGCTTCTGACTGTACCCAGTGCTTGTATAAATAAATAAAAATAAATCTTAAAAAAAAATTAGAAAAAGGATATTCTTAGAGGGCATAGAGTTTAAATCTGAAAAAATGTTCAGGCAGGAACAGAATTAAAGGGCATTCTCCTCAGTCTTGGAAACATCCAAGGGCTTGGGAGGAATCCCAGGTGGTTTACCTGTCGTCTTTGACTTGCCAGGTAAAGGTAAACATGACTATTCCAGTTCATTTCCCCACTCCAACATATTGCTTTTGGGGTCTTTGCTGAAAAGGTCTGGGACATGTTTACATCAGCTCGATAGCTACCAGTAAGGAAAGCAGTGACCACTTTTCAGGCTGCCATTCAAAAGAAGAACTATTGTTACCTGACTTGGCTCGGAGAGACTTGTCCTGTTCTGCAGCTGCTAAGACTCTACCCAAGAAGGACATGTTACCTTCTGTGCAACTCATTTTACCGAGAGGATTCTAGTACCCATTTACATGCCCAAAAAGCAATTCTGTGTTTAAACTGAATTTAAAGTCATGTGATCTTGTTCCAGGAACGGTATATACTGAACGAACTCCAGCCACTGATGTTTTATAGACTCCACTCCCACCTCCATGCCAGAGCTCCCAGGTGTCCAGGACTACAAATGCCATCATGCCATGGCTCTGACTTGACTTCCTGAAAAGGGGATTGCTGGGAATAAGGGTGGGGTTAAGCAGCCATGCTTGGTATAAAAGTGAACATGTGGGCCTGGAGGGCCTTTAGCATGCAGCTGGGCTCCCAGTTCAGGCAGCATTACAGGTAGGACATATGCATCAATTAATTTCTCTATATTTCCTTTTCACTCTCCTAAATCCCCCTCTTTTCATTTCCCTTATAGATAAAACTTTTATTAACCTTTCTACAGGTGCCTGCCCTTGGGTCTTGTTCTGAGTGCGCGGTGAGGACTCCACCAGGCCAGCCCATTTCAGTCTGAAACAATCTGAAATGTAAGTCTGTATGCAGTCTTACCAGTCTGGTTCTAAGGAGAGTGGGGAGAAAACAAATGTCCCCGTTTAATTATTTAGGTCAAAGACTTTCTTTTTTTTTTTTTTTTAGGTCAAAGACTTTCAAAGTCCCACAGTAAAAAATCTTAAAAAAAAAAAAAAAAAAAAAAAGAAATACATTCTGAATTGCAACCTGGAATATATGAAAGTTTTACAAAGGGATACCCCTACTAAGTGTGGTGCCTTGAGATATTTTTTGTTCTATTTTTTTTTTTTTAAAGAAAATGCCCGTTGTGATCTCCTGTATTATATTCAGGACTCACAGATGGTCACGGGTCCCCAGTTTGAAACACACTGCCTTAGGTCATGCATATGGCAAATTACTTCCTGAAAGCAGAGGAAAATCAGCAGAACCTGGCAGCTTGGGTTTTGCTTGTTTCTGGAAGGTCTGTAGAAAATTATTTTTCTGTTTCTCCCACTCTCCTCTCTCCTTTCCCATGTCTTCAACCTCTAGCTGACAAACCCTTAGGGAAACTCATGGATCTGGCTCATATGATCCTAAAAGTTTAGCAGAAAATGTCCCGAGGCAGAGTTATTCCCCTGCGGCATGCACTTTAGCAGGAATGGGGTAGAACAATGACTGAAGAAATTATTCTCTTTCAAGATTTGTCAATAAGGTCACATGTCCCAGGACTCTCTGCTTCTTTCTAGTCTCTGGAGAAATGCAACAGAGGCTTTATAGTCTTTGGAAAAGTTCTTTCTCTGTCTCTCCATCTTCCTCAACAAACCAGTAGCATCCAAAAAAGCAATGAAGAGCCCCAGCAGCTTTGGGGTAAAGGCCAAGAGGAACACCCACCGCTTCACTGCTCCCTGATTCTCTTTACAGTATTCACATGTGAAGGTGAAATCTCTTTGCTCCCTTTATTTATTTATTTTAAAAGATTTATTTATTTATGCATACAAGAACTGGGGTACAGGCCAGAGGTGTCGTGTGAGAGGATTCACCAGAGACAGAGTGGGGACAGGGATTGGACTCGTGCTGCAGTGGCTGCGGATAGCTTCATAGTGCTATGATTTAACTGCTTGCGCCACCAGGGAGGCCCTCTTTGCTCCCTTTAGCAGAAGTGAAGGACGGCTGTAGTACTGGGGTTGGGGGGAGGGACGGACTGTGTCTACCTCCAATACCTAAGGCATTTTCTAGAATCACCCAGACTTCACTCCCACCAAATGGCCTGTGGGAGCAGGAAGTTGCCCCAAGCTGAGTCAGCCTCCAGCAGTGGCAGCTTTACAGTGAGGGTGGGCGTGGAAGCCTCTTTCCTCTGGGGCTCTTAAGCAGTGATAGTGATTGAAGCTGGGAGCTGCTAGTGACAATACTGCCATCATATGGAGGAAACTTTCTGAGGTACTAGGAAAAAGGGGGACCATGGCCTTGAGAGCCAGGAGTCAAGAGTGAGAATCCTGACCACCTGTGTAGCCACAGCCAGCTGCCCCTGAGGCTGGAACCACCCTTTTCATTTGGCCTAATCTAGTTTGAAGTGGGTTTCTACATCTTGCATCAAGAGAGTGTTAACTACAGGGGCCAGAATCCCACCTAGAGTTCCAGAAGATGCTCCTCTGGTCAGGCACCAGGCATACAAAAGAATCGAGACACACCATGCATCTCTGAGCTTGCTGGAGTAAACCTGTTAAAAAGGGGGTCTGGCTATGCCTTTTTACTTCAGCTAAATTTCCTTATTGTTAGCAAGAATTTGAGGATATTTACTCCACGGCATTGTTGTGAGGTTTAAATAAGCCAAAATATATGAAAAAGGCAATAATGTAAAATACTGTATAGTATGATTGGAGTATTACTTGATCAGGCAAAGGATCTATAGATTTGCTGAGAATGTGCTACTCTTTAATGTGCAGACAATTATCTGGGCTATGCTCCTGGAAGGGGAACATTTCTAAGAAAAGACATCCACTGAGTGCAAACTATAAATCTGGCAAGTCCAGGATTTTGCCAGTGTAACTTTAGGTAATCTTTCTAAGAATCCCAGGTTACTGCATCTTATAGAGGGAAAACCTGAAGTCCAGAGCACCAGCTCTTTATCTAGTGTGATAATTTTCCCCAGGGGACATTTAGCGATGCCTGGACATATATCTGACTGTCTGTCACCACAATAGGGGAGAAGGCAGGGTTCTACTAGCATCTAGTGGGTAGGCAGAGGCTGGGGATGCTGCAAAACATCTTACAATGCACAGGGCGGCTCCCACAACGAAGACCTATCTAGAACCCTGGCTTAGCGAGAACTCAGCCCACGTGATTAAGGAACTCACATTCTTAATGGCCATGCAGTACTGTCTCCGTGGGGACATACACACTTTTATTTATTGCACAGACATCTACATGCACACAGGTGCACACATTCAGAGGATGGGCTTGGGTGTTCAGCGTTAAAGTTTTCCAGATCTTAAGGCTCCCTGCTCAGGCACTGCTAACAAAAACAGGCAGGGACTATTTTGAAGGTCAGTAAAATCGTTCCATAGATCAGGGCAGTGTATGGAAGATTGCTATAAGACACTGCCTTTGAAGACCAGCAGGCAGGCAGTGGAGCAGACCGAGGAGTTGAGGTTATTTCCATTTCTGTGCAGTGCAAGAGGAACTTGTCAGTAAGGACACCCTCCTGAAATCTGAAATCTGTGTCACTGACCTTGTTCCAGATGAGGACAGGGGTGGGGATTCCGATGACCTCACAGCTCAAGTACACCTGGGCACCCGTGACATTCCAGATGTCCTTGGGGGGTGTCACGATGGAAGGACCTACAAAGAGAGGCACAAACCAAATCCATCTTTTAAAAACAGTCTTTAATCTTAGCATGGTGGGAGTAAATACTTGATTATGTTTATGAAGCTGTCTCTTCTGGAGTATTTGGATTGTATTTTTAAAACCAGACTGGCCTCCCCTGCTGCCAGCATAAATTTGAGTGAGGCTTTGGGAATGCATATGTCCAGAGAAACAAACAAAAACAAGTAGGAACAAGTATTTACAAAATTTTCTTTGCCTTCAAATCATGTTTAAATGAGAATAAATTTACCAGTTGCTCTGCATTATCTGGTGCTTTCCAATTAATAAATTAATATGATGAGGTTTTAAAAAATTGATTTTATTTTTCAATTAACCCTGAATTTATTTATTGTTATTATTTATTTTTAAAATGGAGTTAACAGTAGGATCCCCTTGCTCAGGTATCGCCACCATAGTGCACCCTCCACCAAATCACCCACCACCACAGTCCACTGTGCTTCCTTACTTCTTTTTTTTTAAAGATTTATTTATTTATGCATACAAGAACTGGGGTACAGGCCAGAAGTGTGGGGGGTGAGAGGATTCACCAGAGACAGAGTGGGGAGCAGAACAGGCAGATCTACTGAAATACACTGCTGAGGGGACCAGTGGTGAGACAGGAGAGGTCTGCTGTGCCATGTGGGTCACCTCCCTGACTGGGGATCGAACTCATGCTGCAGAGGCTGCCGATAGCTTCATAATGCTGTGCTTATTAACCCTTTGCACCACCAGGGGGGCCTGCTTCCTTCCTTTGTTCCTCCCAATATAGTGAATCGTTATCCCAAATGTCTAATGCTTTTTTGGATACCGGTATTTTTACTGGGGGTTGAGGGTGTGGGCAACAACTAACCACTGCTTGGGTAATGAAAGAAAAAGAACTAAGATATTTGAATGTGTGCTGAGCCCCTGGAAAAGCAGCCCTACCTCAAAAGGCTTAGGATGGAAGACTGACAAGTCAGTGATGACATGGCAGGAATGATAACTTCCATCAAAGGGAAGAACATGGACTGCTGTCTGCCTGATGAGAGTGGAGGAGACACATCTGAACAGAAGTGACCTGGGTGTCCAAAAAGAAGATGGAGTGTCTCTTGCCTGTGCAATTTCGGAGTCAGTGGGTAAAAGAGAAGCAGGTCTCTTGCATGTGCCCAGGGCCCCTGAGGAGATGGCTCTTCCCCAGGGTTGTCTGTGTGCAGGTTCCTGGCAGGTGGCATTAGCAAGTGGGACCTGGCATTGCTTGACTAGTTCCCAGGTATGGGAACACTCAGCTAGAGCCCCAATTAGCACCCCCCCTCCCCTCCAATTCTGGAACATCCCAGGTCCCCTCTATCATTTTCCCTTTAATCAGAAGGTCCTTACTCAGAGCCAACATCAGTGGCATAAATCCTTTTTGTTACTGCAGAGGTTCTGTGGTCCATGAATCAAATCCGGCCTGTCATTTATTTTTGCTTTTCTTGCAAACTCTTTGTGTTCCTAAATGGTTGACTAATAAATTAAAAGAAGGATGTTTCATGACATGAAAATGATAAGAAATTAACATTCTTGGTGACCATAAAATAGAATTTTGTTGGAACACAGTCATAGCCAGTGTGGAGCAGTTTCCGTCAAGACTCTATGGCCTACAATACTTATTCTTGGCCCTTACAGAGGAAGTGCTGATTCCTGCTCTGGTCACTGGAGGGGCACCAGCGCCTAAATAAATGTGGCAGAAAAATGTCAGGACATTAACCCTTTGTACTTTATGCAGAGCTGATGCAAGTAAACCCACTGGATCAATTCTGGTTCAGTTCTGAATTGCAACATTATCGAAGCCAACAGATCCTGAAAGAGCTGTGCCTGCTCCCTGCTCCTTTCTTTTTTTTTTTTTTTTTAAAGATTTATTTATTTATTTATACAAGAACCAGGGTATAGGCCAGATCCACAGGAGGGTGAGAGGACTCACCAGAGACAGAGCAGGGAACAGAACAGGCAGACTGACGAAATACACTGCTGAGGGAGCAGCGGGCAAGACAGGAAAGGTCTGCATGGCCATGTGGGACCCTTGCCAGCCGGCTGGGAATCGAACCTGTACTGCAGAGGCTGTGGACAGCTTCACAGTGTGGCACTCAACCGCCTGCGCCACCAGGGGAGGCCCTCCCTGCTCCTTTCTGCTGAGGGATCTGCGCCCCATGTGTGCAGCAGAGGAGGTGTGCACGCGTACTGTTCACTGGGTGGTAATTAGTAATTCGCTTCTACTGATTCTGAATGCCTTGTTTCAGGTCCTTCAGAGAGATGAGGAACAATCAATCCACAGATGGGCCCAGAGCCTGGACCCTGATGACAGTCCCCTGTGCCCACACACAACCTGGCCCTTTCTTGAAGCGCTGTGGCATTTGTTGAATGAATGAGTTAACTTTTTTCTCTGAATTTCAGCTCTATACAGCCTTGGGGCTTTCAGTCAAATAAAGTGTCTAAAGGCAGGGTCATCTTGCATCAGAGTCCTGGGAACGGGACAACCTCCCCTCTAGGCTTGGAAAGTTTTCTGGCATAATCAGCATTCAAGGGACATGAAGTCTCCCCTCTTGCAACAGGCTATTTCCAGCACACTATTAATTTCTTGAAATGGAAAGGAAATGACCCCAGCATGTAAGATTTTTCCCACTCATCTAAAGTACTAGAAGTTGATTTTGTTTAATCCCTTGGGGTATTTTTATTTTGTCCCTTGTAAGAATGTGCAAAACAATCAAAGTTTTGAAAGCTCTAAATATATTCCATGCTTCCTTTCCTCTAAACCATAGGTCTGAAGAGGAAGCCTCTATCTTAGTGTGGGATCCTGGCTTTTCTGTCACAAATGTGGACGTGGTCAGGAGAGCTGTGCTGTGTTTATATGTGTTTCTCCTCTGTCTCGGATGCTTCCTAGTGCAGTTGGACCAGCACAGGATCCCACCAGGGCTGGCCGGGCCCTTACTGTATCCCAGGCTTTCCCTACAGCTCCAGGGCTCCAAGGGCTTGGACACCACAGAACCAGCTCTGACTGGACTTTTTTTTTTTTTTTTTAAAGATTTATTTATTTATGCATACAAGAACTGGGGTACAGGCCAGAGGTGTGGGGGTGAGAGGATTCATCAGAGACAGAGTGGGGAACAGAACAGGCAGACTGACTGATATACACTGCTGAGGTGAGCAGTGTGCAAGTCAGGAGAGGCCTGCTGCTCCATATGGGTAGTTCCCTGGCTGGGGATTTAACTCGTGCTGCAGCAGCTGCAGACAGCTTCATAGGTTGGATCTTAACCCCTTGAACCCCCAGGGAGGCTCTGGACTTTGAATTACTTTCTCTCTCCTCTATGGAGCCCCTGTGTGGCTCTGTCCTCCCTCCCACATGAGGACTTGGTGAGTTGACCTCAAAGCTCAGGGGACCTCAAGGGATTGTTCTGAGAAGAATACACCAGTGTTCAGAGATGTGGAGGGGCCGGGAACAAAGTTGCCTTCACGGATCAAACCACACAAGGCGTGGAAGGCATTTCTATGGGTAGGTGCGAGGGCCTGCGTCTTGTGAAAACAACAACAAACCACCTCCAATCCATTTATTTTACTTGTATCCATCTCCCTCTAGTGAGAAGAGGTGGTAGGTCATCCATCTTCATCAGGGGAAGAGTCCAAATGCATTGTCAGACCTTGAAGACATGCTATGGATTCTTTCTGTGGAATACATAGTCCAACTTATCAATATTTTCTTTTAGGATTAGTGCTTTTTGTGTCCTGCTAAAGAAATGTTTGCTTCACCCAAGGTCATACACATCTCCTGTTTATTTCTACAAGTTTTATGGTTTTACCTTTCACATCTAGGTTTTCAGTCCATCTTGAATCAATTTTTGTGTGTGTTGTGGAGTAGAGATCAAAGTTCCTCCCTTCTACTCCCAAAGCACATACAATTGCGTTGGCACTATTTATTGAAAAGATGATTCCCTTACTGACTTGAGATGGGGCCTTTCTGGTAAGTTCACTGACCATGTATTTGTGAACCTATTTTTGGATTCTCTATTCTGTTCCATTGGTCTATGTGTCTAACCTTGCACCAATAACCATGCATTGATTGAGAAATTAATTGTATTAAAAAGCAGCGTTGAATAGAGGGAAGTCTCATGTCCATGTCCTTCCAACTCTCTCCATAGTCAAAGAAGCAGAATGTTATTTTTTGCCGAGTTTGATCCCCGGCCAGCCAGGGAGCAACCCAGATGGTGCAGCAGACTTCTCCTGTCTTGCCTGCTGCTCCACTCAGCAGTGTATTTTGGTCGATCTGCCTGTTCTGTTCCCCGCTCTGTCTCCGGTGAATCCTCTCACTGTCCCCTGCCCCCACACCTCTGGCCTGTACCCCAGCTCTTGTATGCATAATAAATGAATCTTTAAAAAAAAATTTTGGATCATTCAAGACATAAGTAATTTAATTTCTGCTACCAGGCTATCCCGAGAATTCTATAAGATTTCCATACCACAAAAAACTGTGTTACTCCTGACATCTGTTGAGTTGATGGGGTGGAAAGACAGAGGAAGGCTCACTAAGACAGCTTGTAACACATTTATGAGAACCCTTGATTATTTAAAATGTCCTTGAGTAAATGTTGAATTCAGTAACATAATTAAAAGTTTAATAAACAGTATCTAAACAAGTGTTAATCTTTAGAATGGCCTGTAGGTTTTGACAGTCAGATCAATAAAGGATTAGACTAATATTCAAGTAGTCACCTGACCTCCTGGAGAAGGTGCAGGCAGGCTAACTTTAACCTAACTTGCTGTGTTGAAAGAACCTTTTCGTTTTGTAGTCTTCCTACCTTTTTTCAGTGCCCGTATCCACTAGGTCACCTCCTTCCTAAGTATTGGCTGGTCATGACGGGTCTGGACATTCAGAAGAGGGAATGGAGAAATTCTTTTTTTTTTTTTTTTTTGTATTTAAAGGGCAGGTTTATTAGGGAAGGGGTAAAACAGTTAAAGACACTTGCAT